CGTGCTTTAATTGGCTCCCAGGGAATTTGAGTTTACTCCTCAAACCACGTGCTCATTACGCAGAAGTTTTGCATGCATTTGTAACACCTCATCTTCACCAAGATTAAAATAATGATGGCGGTAAGGTATTTCTTACGTCGCTGCTATGAGGATGAAAATAGGATGGTGAGAAATTGCACAGCAGGATATTCCCATCCTTTCATACCATCTGTTGTCAGATCATACTTAAGGGAAAACGATTGGATCTGAATTGTTACATTTGCCTTGTGTGTATGTATCCTAAAGGTAATTGCTGGTTGCCCTTTTCTTCGAACACGACTTCCACATTCATGCTCCCATCGATGTTGTTTTGGCCTTTAACCGTTGCTCTATGCGCTTTGGCATGGGAATACAGAATCGCTACCCACGTGTTACAGGCGATCTTGAACCAAATTCCTAGGAGGGTTAGTATTATGAGTCCTTAGTGTTACAGTGAGTGTTTGGGAGAATTTATGTAAGCGTTTGGGTTGGCGTTAAACTTCGAGTCACAGTTAGATTTGGGTCCCCGGAATATGTGTTCCAGGAATTTAGCACAAAGCCACCTGTAGGTCGTGAAGGCGTGTCCATGGTTCCTTATTCGAGTGGCCAAGGGACTAGCGGTTATTTTCCTCGATAGTAGGTATTGGAGACGACTCTATTCTTGCAAGGAGCTCGCAATGAGGCCATTATCCATACGTCTACATACAAGCTGTAGCATGACAGCTTTTGCTAAATGAGAGAGAGAGAGAGAGATGAATGCGCCTTATTTTGAAAATGTCATTCAAACCGTTCAGCTAAATATTTGCATTCCCTATGACTAGCAGGTAAATTAACAAATAACGCAACAGTCAATGGGTTTACATGAAATGAACGTCTATTACGGGGACATAGCGCATACAGTTTGACTACCAGAATAATCAACTTTCTTTTTTCAGGCTATACACCGCGTACGAATCAGGGTTTCGCCAGCTTTTCGCTAGGCTGAGTTTGTGTTAATCTTCTTCTTTTCCCTTCCCGTTTTTTACCATGTTATGGTATTTTCCCCAGTTGAAGCGTTTCTGTTTAGAAACCAAGCTTTTTGGGTTGTAAATCTATCTTTTTCCTCTAAGTCTGCTTTGCTGTAGAACAGTTTAACCGTACAATCACGAATTGTGGAAATTAACTTGACTCATTGAATTCTCGTTTTTGTCTGTTTGAGGGGCGCACACGATATCTACACGTTTTTCTTAACTCTGTCCTCTTCCAGTTGCTCGAATGGAGAAAAGAGAGGCGGACTCCTCCAATGAGAACTCAAAGTTACACGGACGAATAGACGAACTGCTGCGCTCCAATCTGGAGTTGGCAGACAACTTAAAGAACGCTGTCAGCACGCCAGTACGACCAAGTACGCTGCTTGGGTTTATTTGCCCTGTCGTCCTGTTTGCTCTCTCTCTCCACCTCTCTCTCTCTCTCTCTTTTTTCTTTTTTGCCGCTTTTAGCACAACCAAAATCACCGGCAAATGCTTTCGATGCGACCAGGTTAGTGCGTGTGGGTTGAAGTGTTGACCAGTGGAATGGTGGTCAGACGGCGCTGGCTCCTCCTTGCCCCCCCCCCTCCCGGTTTTTAGCAATCCTGGAGTGCGCGCCAAGGGTTGGCAAATTTGAATAATTCATTTAACCCAGCTGTGAAAAATTCGGTGGCTTCGGTGGGATTCGAACCCACGCCAGTAAAGGGAAGGCTTTAGTATAGCCTATGCTCTATCATTTTGTAACATAGGCCAGCTATTGTAGGCGATGAGTAATTGGTGTACAGTGGTCGCCGGTCATTAAGCCCACCTCGGGCCCAGACCAAATTGGGCT